GTTTGGCGGGTCCGGGCTGGGGATTCGAACCCGCCACCTTAGGTGTACGTGGCTGGCGCCTTAGCCGGTTGAGCTATAGGCGCCGAGCCCACCGTTGCTTTTTTAATAACAACTGTGACTATTTCACGATTAAGAACCCAAAGAGGTCCCAGCTGTAACAGACGCTTGAAGGGCGTGTCGCGCGCGCGCCCGCGCCCGCGCCCGGCTCTGCACACCCAGTGCGCTTGCGCGCGCCGCCATTTCATACAGCTGTGGGCCCCGGCAGCAGCTACTGCTTGGAAATAAGACGGTCAAAGAAAATGGCTCTTTTTGCTAGATCCGCGCCGGCGGGGCTGCTTCTGCAGTAGTTCCTGCGCCGGCCGCGAGTCGGCGTTCGAAGATCACAAATGGTCTTGCGTCACCCTGTGGCCCCGCCCTAGAAACTTTAGAGTCTCTTGGCCCTTCCCCCACTTCGCGAAGTAAACACCTCCTTGGAGAATTTGAGGAGTACACTATGCCTGCTTTCTCTCCTTCATCCAAACCAAGCCTGCCAGGGCAGCCTGGGGGTGAATCCCTTTCTCAGATTGCCTGCCCCTTGACAGGTCAGGCCAAGTGCACAGGTTTTCCTGAGCACTGTGGCTGGAGAAGATTGGATGGCTTAGGTCTTTCTAGATTGGACAAATGGTCTGGAGGCAGTAAAGGGATAGAGAAAGGGGAGATGACTATGGGAGGACGGGGACAGGAAGGCCAGTGTGTTTGTAGCCAGGAAAAGACTTTGTCTTTTAACACCTTATTGGTTTCATCAAGTGACATTAAAGAGAGGAGTACACTGTCTACTCCTTGGAGTAGGGGCTGTGCTTGTTCCTTGGGGAGATGAGCCTTTCCAAGTCCATGGGGTGACAGGCAGCAAGTCCCAAGCACTGGGTACATAGGGTGCTGCTCATTTTTTCTCAGCACTTTGGATGGTTATGAGAAGAAAATGGCCACAGAGGTTGGAGAGGCCTCTCAGGAAAGGCCTGGAGCCCCAAGCAGTGGCCAGGAAGACCCTGCTGTACCCACGCAGCAACCTGCAGATCCCAGCATCCTAGAGCTACAGGGCAGCCCCAGCGGACCCCAGCAGCTCGTCAGATTGGATGGCTATGGCAGCAGGTAAGGGCTGAGCTGTACTGGGCTCCCTCCCACTACAGTTGGTGTTTCTGTCACAGGCTACAACACAGGAAAGATTCACACACACTAGGCTTGCCTGTTACCCTCTGCTGCTGTGTGAGGATAGGAGAGAGAAGGAAGCAGACTGGAAACCAGTGCCCTGAACATAGGTCTCCAGAGGTTTCCACTTGGAGCCATAATATCAAATCTGTTAGACTAAGCCTGGCACAGAGAAGGTACACGGATAACCATGTTGCTCAGCAGCTAGTAGGAGCTTGAAAATCTGAGTTGGGAGAGGGATGTGGAGTGTTTTTTCCATTCATGGAGATGGAAAGTTTCTTAGGAAGGCGTACCATGGTGTGGATGGGACTTGCCAGCAGAAATAAAAGCTATACCATTTGGGTGATCTTTTCTCCTGCCATCACCATCAGGATGGCTGTGGATTTGGGCAATAAATAACTCACCTCCACAGAGGTAATTCTAGGATCATGCAGTGGTTAGAAGAAGTTAACAGCAGTAGCCTGAAGAAATGGGGGATGTGAGTTTTCTGAGAGAGGCCAAGGACCAAGGATGAACAGGGTGGCCGGGAACAGACAGCACCAGCCACTTGAGGTGGTTTCCTGTGAGCAGCTCAGGTCTACCAAAGTGGCAGTTTTCTGGATCCTGATCTCTGAAGAGTAATGCCCGCTCATGCCAAATCACAGTAGTTGAAGTAGCTGTGATAACTTTTTAATTTTGAAAACCTAGATGACTTGTAGAATAATTTTTCACATTTGAAAATATTTTTTACAGGTAATCTAGTAGCAGATTTTATACCATCCTGAAATATTCTGTTGTTTGTCATCAAAAAATTCATGGAAAGTTGAAGTTCTTGAATTGGAAACTGTGCTGTCTGGAAGAACTTCATAGCCAGCATACCTATGTGGACAGGACATAGAGGATAAGAAAGAATGTCATAATTTGATGATATTCTTCTCATTCCTGCCAAGCCAACTTCATTTCCATCTCTGTGATGGAACTTTCTAGCTCCCACATTACCTTCAGTACTTAGGAACCCACTGATTGGCTCCTGCCCCAGCGGGACATGTAGTATAGGATTCATGTCCAAGACAGGACTTGTATTATTTTTCAAGTTTCGTTATTTCTGGTGTTTCATGGCAATTTTCCTTTACCCTTTCCTGATTTGGGGCCCCTGCCTTGCTCTGACTTCTGGACTTCCTTTGTGTCTCCGTTACGAGTCATTCTCTTAACCAGATCTCCCTCTTGCTGCCACTGCCAATCAAGTATTCTAGCTCCATCATCATCCTCCTGCCATAATCCATTGCTTTGATTTGGTGGCCCTGTAACAGGGCTATGAAAAGGCTATTGTAGCTTCATCTTGCTGAGGAACTAAGCAAAGGTATTTGCTCAACTCTTGTGTTCCTCAGCCTGGCTCAGGTCTCCCAAACTTGATGGATAGGATGCATGCCAGCAGTTAGCTTCAGTGTCCTTCTGGCCCTTTTCTGTGTGAAGCCAGAGGCCCTTCCCTTATCACTTCCTAGAGTTGCAGTCTATGAGGTGAAGGAAGGCATCTTTGCCTGTTGGGAGGTCTCTCTCTCTCCCTCTCTCTTTTTTTTTTTTTTTTTTTTTTTTGTGGTTTTTGGCTGGGGCTGGGTTTGAACCCGCCACCTCCAGCATATGGGGTTGGTGCCCTACTCCTTTGAGCCACAGGCGCTGCCCGGGAATTCTCTTTACTCCCCAGAGATCTTTTCCCAGAGTGGCCATGTTTGGGAATAAGCAAGAACCATGGTTCTGCCACCCAGAAATGATGCATACACAGTGAACACAATGGCCAGGCCCCACCCATCCACCCTCAGAGTACACACCATCCAGCAGTGACTAAACGTGGTACCGATGCTAGAGTGCTGGCACATGCTGAGGACGTGCTTTATGCAGGGTCACTCATTTCACTCAAACCCACTCAAACCCCACTCTATGAGGGAGGTACTATTATTATCTCCACTATTCAGGTGAGAAACTGAGGCATATGAAGGTTAAGTAACTTGCCAATAATTACTGAGCCAGGACATTGCCTCACCTGGACTAGAACCCAGGCAGTCAGAACCCAGAGACTATACGGTTAATCCTTGTGGTGTGTACACTGCCCCTCCGTTTGTGATAAGCCTAGAAAAGAAAGAAACCAGGTGCTCTGATGGTGAGGAGCCGGGGCAGAGGGTATTGTAGCTAGGATGGGTGGGAAAAGCTTTTCTGTTGAGGAGGTGACAGTTCAGCTGACACTTAAAACACCTGGAGGCATCTGCCTTGCAAAGAACATGGACAAAGGAAGAGGAAGGGGACCTGAAATATGGGCCCTGTGTTTAGAGGGTAGAAGGTGAGGTGAGCAGGGGATAGGAGGTGGGTCCTGTAGAGTCTTGTGGGCCAAGGGGAGGAGGCATTTGGGGAGCACTATGGGTCTCCTGCTGCTCACATTAAAGTCCTGGGGAAGATCTCCAGGGGATTTGCTACATAGAGATAGGATCTTGTTATGTTACCCAGGCTAGCCTCAAACTTCAGGACTCAAGAACTCTTCTTGCCTCAGCCTCCTGAGTAGCTCCAGGGTTGTTTTTTTGTTGTTGTTGTTTTTTTACATTGCCCCTTCAGTTCTTGTGTCCCCTTGACTACTCAGTTGACATGGATCACCAGATGCCAGATTCTTGCTGGTTTTTCAATCAGCAGTAGATCTTATTGCCCTCTTCTCACAATCAGTCCCTTTTCCAGTCTTTGGTTCTGCCCTTCGTCCACATCTGTCTTTCCAGGTTCCTTCAGGGCCTCCTCTCCCATCCAGTCCACCTCCTCCAATCTCCATGGCATATTTACGTGTCACAGGGTGATGAAGGAAGAGGTGCAGAGTGACCAGGTACACTGAGGCAGAGTATCACACAGCCAGCAGTGGGAGAGTAGGCTCTCAGGAAGGGGTTCCGGAGGAGGAGCTTGTGTTATCTGCAGAGGCATGAGAGAGCTTGGCAGATCCACGGATGCTGCAGGCCAGTCTGTGGCTTGAGCTTTAGTATCATGTGACATAGTTTGAGACTGAGGCAGGACAGCTCAGCAAATGCTGGGCTTGGTCTGCCTCTTCCCCACTCTTAAACTAGTTCAGGTCTTGGACACTAGACACTGACAAGGATGTGACACCCCAGAGCCTGGGCCTGGTGAGTGACACGTGTTGCAGAGAGGCCAGAATCAGCCCAGGCTGCTGGAGAGTGGACATACCTGAGTTGGAAGAGACAAAAAGAGGGTCAGTGGCAGTGTTTCAATACAGTGCCCTAAAGTGAAGTGGGCTGCTGTGGCAGCTTTTGGTCTGGTACCCATGGTATGGGGTATGCACAGTGAGGGCCGTGAGGCCTGGCCAGAGAAAAGCCTTGTGAGCTGCCCAGGAAGTCAGATACCAGGCCAAGGGCTGTATGTTGCAGCTGAGGTGTGGAGGTTCCAGAAAATCAAGATCCCTGTCAGTTCCTGCCCCTGCTGGTAGCATGTGCCTTCCAGAATGCAGTGTCTCCAAGTTTTTTCTTCATCAGTTCTGAGGGGATGCTGGAAACCCTCCCAGTGTCCATTTCCTCATCTATAAAATGGGCCTACTGGCAAGATTTACTCCGTTTCTTTCAGGATGAGAAGCCCCTCAAGCTGCATGGTCACTGTTACCAGCACTGCCCCTTCTGAGCAGCCTCACATTTATAATCCAGTCCCCCCAGGTGAATTGGACTCCAGCTTGGCCATGTAAGAAAGGACACCTAGCAACCTGGGAGATGTTGTTTGGGAACAAGGTGGTTCCCTCATTTTCTCCTTGGGACTAAAGGACCCAGATTCCTTCTGTGTTTTTCTTCTCTGGCGCCTCCCCCAATTCCCAGCAGCCCTTTGGCCAAGGGTTCACATCATGCAGTCTTAGTCTCCCAGTATGAACTCCCACGTGCCAGCCCACACAGGTCTCATGGCACCTCACCTTCTCCCTATCCCAGTAAGAAGCTGAGGCAGCACCTCCTAGGGTGTTCATGGATGTCTCCACACAGCCGGCAGCTGGGCACTGCCATCTGTTGTATCTTGCTAATGTCTCCATGGGACATGTCTGAGAAGGCTAGGCCTGCGCCTATGTCTCTTGCATGCTCACCTTCTCACTGCCTCACCTGCACTTCTGGCTACCACTTCGGGTGCAAGAAAGGGCACCATTTTAGAAAGGGTGCTGAATGGGATGTGTGTTAATAGGGAATCTCAAGGCGCCTCCACTGACATCAGGTCAGTAGGCTTGATTGTGCAGCATGGAGGAGGGGATCTGTCCAGGATGAGGTGACTCTATACTTCTGGAACTCCAGGAATGAGAAGGGAGAGATTAGGTTTGAGATGGAGAGTGCACAGCAGCTCAGGTGTCTGGGGAAGCTCCGAGTGGCAAGTCCTGACAGCCTTGGTTTAAGGCTTAGATAGGGTGACCAGATTCTAACATCTGTAAGGCGGGACAACATGGCCGGGGGGCGGAGCAGGGGCGACAGCACAGGGCAGGGCCTAACAACAAGGCAAACTTTGATAAGCAGTTATCGATAATCACTTCTCAGCAATTATTATTACAGTTTAACATTATAAACTTAACAAATAATATAAAACTCATATTCTGGCGAAATAGCCATATGGCGGCCGAAAACCGTATATTCCCTTCTTGTTCTCCAGCCCGTTCGTGCATTCTTTCCAAAAATTGGGACTTTTTTAAAACGCCGCAGGACACGGGACAAATTGTTGAAAAGCGGGACTGTCCTGCCAAAATCGGGACGTCTGGTCACCCTAGGCTTAGAGGACATCCTGGTTGTGGGTAGGTGAGAAAGAGGACACTTTCATAGAGGGGTGGAAAGCCTGTGGGACTCAGGTGCAGAAGTACAAGAATCTAGCAAGAAGGTGAGGACATGGAGGGCTGAGTGAAGGACGTTGGCACATTGCCATCAGTTGTAGGGAGCATCTTTCTAGGGCTGTCAGAAGTAATAAGCTGAGCCTATGGGCTGGAATTTCAGCCTGAGTCCCCCACAGCTCCCTCTACTGCTGGCTCTGGGGCCTGGAGTCCACCAGCACCTCTGCCCAAAGCCTTCCATGAGCTTCCTCACTTCCTTCAAACCAGGCTGGGGTCCCTCCAGCTCTGCACTCCTTCCATGGGCCAGGTTGTCCCCTGGAATCTTCCAGCATAGCCCTTTGTGTTCTGCTCTGCTCCTTCTACAGTAAAGGAGTCCTCTTCGTGAAGGAGTACATCAGTTCTAGCGAAGTGTCTTCTGGGAGGCTGTCATCTTCACGCTGTGGCAGGTAAGAGCAAGCCCCACATAATTCCAGGCCCTGGCCTTCTCCTGCATACCCTGTTTTGTCCTCATCCTGAATCCCTAGTACCTTGTTCAGGGTATGGCCCAGAGTAGCTTCTGGTAACAGTTTGTTGAATGCATGAGTGATATCATTGTCCTCTGATGTGATTTCTGCTTTTTTAGGTGTCCCGCCTACCTGGGTGCCTTTGAATTCTTATGGTTAACTCCCCTTGCACCCCACTGTCAGTGCTGTCCTATTCTTTCATCCTTTGTTGCTTTCTTTTGTGAAATACCAAAATCATCCCCCTCTACAGAGCTGGCAGAGCCTTTAGGGACCATCTAGTTCAGTGGTTCTCAACCTTCCTAATGCCACGGCTCCTTTAATACAGTTCCTGTGGGTCTTGACCCATGGGTTGAGAACTGCTGATCTAGTTGATTGTATCTTACTTCAGATCACAGGGGTCTTCTCAAGAGCCCCCTTGCTTTTTCCTGTCATGCCAGGCTGCCTCACTTGAGCACGCATAGGATTGCAGCTCCTGATACACACATGACTTTCAATGGATGTGTCTTCATCTGCTTGCTTCCTAATGCGATATGGAAGGGTACCTCAGTGTCATACTAGTGCACTACCACATGGGGTTCCTTAGGGCACATTTTTATGACAAGTCATCTCACTGCTAAGATGAGGAATTTAGTAACATGGAGGAGTATCCCAGCCTTATTTTAGGATTAGGGCTTTGGGGCTTCCACACTAGCTTTTCCTGGTGCTATGGAATGATGAACATAGGTGTGACAGTCACATTCCAGCCTTGACGCCGTCCTCCACTGTTTCAGTCATTTGGGGTAAGATGCTCAACCTCTATGAGCCTTAGTTTCATCACCTGGAACCCCTTAGAGTGGTTTTTCTCAACAGCTTTATTGAGTTATAATTCACCCCTCAAAGTGCACAATCCGGTAGGTTTTGTTATATTCATGAAGTTGTGCAACTGTCACCACTGTCCAATTCCAGAACTTGTTCATCACCACAAAAAGAAACCCCAGACCTGTTACCAGTCCCCTACATCACTACCCTCAGCCCCTGGCAATGGCTCATTTATTTTTTGTCTCCATAACTTGATTCACGGAGGTTTTCAGGTTAGAAATAATATACATGAAACCTTTGGACACCCATTTGAGCTCTCATTGCCATCTAGAGTTTGCTTCTATGAAAGTCACTTGGCAAAACTGTTCATCTTCTGGCCTTCTCCCAGTCCCAGCATCCTGTTAGATTTAATTCTTAGATTCTGAAAATTAAATTTATTTTAAAGTATAATTTAACACTTAGTCAAAATATGATGTGGTATGAAAAGCCAATAGCTTTTCTTTATTGGGCAATGTGAATTGCTTTATCCTCTAGGAAGCTTACAGATGAATTTGGTGCTCAGAAGAAATCAGGACATGGGATGAAATTCTAGCTCACTTCTTTCCCAAGCATGACCTTAGGCAGGTCACTTCACCTATGAGGCCACCCCACTAATCCTAGGAGAATGGCAGCTTCGTTAAATAGGTAACCCAGGGCTCACAGCTAGTCAGTCACCCTTCCCTGGTCATGTTTTTGTTTGGTCACCAGTTTTTGTTATTAAAAATGAAGATATAAAAAGGAAAAACAAACACCCTTCTCTCTTAATGCTACTCTGGAAGCCAAGCACAGGCTTCACGTCGTAATGTTCCCTTCTTTCTTCCCATTGCCACTGTCTGATTTCTGCTGTGAATGGGCTCCCGTGACTGTCACATTGTAACACAAGTGGGGAGGTGAGCTCTGCTCTTTGTCCACTGGTCAGTGGAAGTGAGAGTCCTCTTGGTATATAGGCCACTCATTCTTGTCATTTTACACCTTGTGACACGTCTTCTTTGCCCCCCATAGAAGGGCTCTTCTCCAAGAGAACCATGCCTTCTTAGTGTCAGTCCTTATGGCACCAAGTGCTATTTGGGATGATGGATGCGAATTGGCAGTGTAGAGTCATGTCTCAGCTTGTGGCCCCAAGGTTAATTAGGAAAGTGTTCCCTGACCATAACTGTGACAGTGATCTGCTCCCATCTTCTGCCCTCCTCTTCCCCATCACACTCCCCATAGCATCAGCAGCATTGAGGACACGTTTGACGTAGAGAAGAAAGCCCCATATGACAGCACCCTGTATTCTGAGAGGTAAGTCTGCTCTGTATTTTTTTTTTCTGTCTTTCTCTCCTCTCCCCACTGGGAAGCTTGCAGTTCTTTTTTTTTTTTTTTTTTTTTTTGAGACAGAGCCTCAAGCTGTCCCCCTGGGTAGAGTGCCGTGGCATTACAGCTCACAGCAACCTCCAACTCCTGGGCTCAAGCGAGCCTCCTGCCTCCGCCTCCCAAGTAGCTGGGACCACAGGCGCCCGCCACAACGCCCGGCTATTTTTTGGTTGCCGCTGTCATTGTTGTTTTGGCGGGTTCGGGCTGGGGATTCGACCCCGCCACCTTAGGTGTACGTGGCTGGCGCCTTAGCCGGTTGAGCTATAGGCGCCAAGCCGGAAGCTTGCAGTTCTTATGGAGGAGAAACAACTCAGGAAGATGTCCACACTAAGTCTGTTTGCTTTCGTCCACTGCTTTGCAAAATCAGATCTGTTTGCAGATCTGTTACATGATGCAGGACACTGCCACGGGTTGGTGCTTCCCTTATTGGGATCTCACATTTGTGGCAAGTAAGACTTTTGAACCCGGCTAAACCAGAGGGTAGGTATAGAAGGCTGCTCCACACAGAAGAGTGGTGTCTGAAAGCCTGGGGGCTCGTATCCCCAGGAGAGGACCTGTGGATCATTATCTAATCAATCACTTCATTAACTGGAAAATCTGACCAGAAAGAAAACATAAAAAGAAAAAACAACTGGGAAATAGGTTAGTGGGTGGGAAATGAAGCAAAATGCTATTATTAAGAATCGAGAAAGGAGACACAGCTAACAAGGCAGACATTGAATGGATGAGCATGAGAGCACCTCATTCGGCAGTTTTAAAGCTTAGACTAGATGATGTCACACTCACAGGATGATCTTAATGACAAAAAATTCCTATTTTAAATTCTTGGAATGGGAAGAAAAGATCATAGAGATTGAATTCACTCAGGTCACTGTGAAGGAAGCAGGGCTGGATAGCATAGTGAATATGCTTTATGTCACACAGTGAGTCTGCAGCAGTCAGGACTAAACCGCAGGATCCTGACTGCTTTTGGATAGGGATGTTTCTGCTCTGCCATCTGGCTTCTCATGTATCAAGAGGTTGAAATTCTAGTGGATGACATTTGGAGGCCAAAGTTAGATTAGGGAGAAGGTGGGAAGAAGTGAGAGTATTAGGGACACTCTATCTAATACAAGGCCCCAAACGTAAACAGGCAGAAGGGCAGGCAAGCAGAGGGGATAAGTAAGTTCTCTCCAACATGGTTGAAGAAACAGCCAATTACCTGAATCTTGGGCCACCACAGGGGCCACCTAGGGTATATGATGTCATGTCTCCTATAGGGGAAGGCATTGGTCTTGCCACTGTGTAGAGGAACAGGCCCTAGAAGATTTGGCAGGCAGAGGGGCAAGGAGAGTCTGTGTCCTCTAAGGCCTGCACGATTTAGCCCCTGCCCCCTAACTCATACCATTGCAGCCATGCATGTGCTTCTGCCCCAAGGCCTGTGCATTTGCTGGAACAAGTATCACAGTGGGCTGCTCACACAAACTGCAGTGAGTGGGGCAAAGATGTGTGGCTGGTTTTGGAGATACTGCAAACTTTTCAGAGGCTGAAAACTGGTGTAGCCCAGGGCTGTGCTGCCAACTAGTCCCCTGCTTTCGCACACCACAGAAAAACATGGGAAGCTGGGGATCCTTTCCAGAGAACCTGGGCCTGCCTGCATCAAACCAGAGGGTCTGGTTGTGTTACACCAGGAATGTATATGCCAGCCTGACTGCTGGATTATTGTGTTTTCATTTCACAGAACAACTGGTGGGATTTGTACTTACTGTAACCGTGAGATCCGAGACTGTCCGAAGATTACCCTAGAACATCTCAGCATCTGCTGCCATGAATATTGCTTAAAGGTAAGAAAGGGGTGCTGCTGAGGACATCCTGTAGAGTATAGGAGTCTTAGGGTTCAGAGGGTGTGCTCCGTCTCTATATGCCTTTGCTCACAGTTGTGGAAGCTTTGCAGAACTGGGAGGTGAATGAGCTCATTCCAAGTCCAAGGGTGTAAATCAGGCGTCCTCAAACTATGGCCCATGGGCCACATGTAGCCTACCTAGGACATTTATCTGGCCCACTGGGTATTTTTGCTGCCGCTGCCTGTCTTGCTTAGCAGCTGACTCGTCCTTGGGCCCACAGTCTGGGCCTCCAACGGTCTGAGGGACAGTGAACTGGACCCCTGTTTAAAAAGTTTGAGGACCCCTGGTGTAAATGAATGAATATTCACTATTCCATGTGTTTTGTGCCACAGGGAACACAAACACAGTCTTCTGGGGAAAGACTGTTCCAGTTGCAGGGCCAGCAAAAGCACAGGCCTTGGGGCAGAAGCACGTGCATGGATGCAGTGGCATGGGTTAGGGGGCAGGGACTAGATTGTGTCAGCCTGGGAGGACACAGACTCTAAATTTTATTCTAAATGCTATTGGAACCTACTAGAGGGTTTGTTTAAGGGAGTGACAAGATCTGATTCATGCTTTTAAAAGGGTCCTTCTGGCTATGAGAGAGCTTGTAGGGAGCAATAGTGAAAAAAGAAGGCCAGTTAGGAGGCTGTTGCAGTATATTAAGCTAGAGAGTTGGCAGCACTGATGGCAAGATGGTGACTGGATTGGAGGTATTGTTGAAAATAGAGCTGCCAGATTCTGACGTCTGAGAGCGGTGAGAGGAGCTGCTAAGCTGTGGGGCCTGAGTCACTAGGTGAGAGAATGGTGATGTTTGCTCAGATGGGAAAGCCTGGAGGGGAGCAGGTTTGCGCACAGAGGCAGGTGACATTGAAGATGCTCCAAGGAGAGCCAAAAGGGAAAGGCGTGCAGCCGGCTGGATTTGTAGCTTTGGGTTCTGAGGAAAGACTATGGCTGAGGTGCTCTGGGCATGTTTGCTCTGAGCCGTGGGACCAAATGAGCTTACCTAGGCTGCGAGTAGGCAGAGAGGTTGGCTGAGGGCTGAGGCTTATGTGACTCTCTAGCACTTAGAGGTTGGGAAGGAGATGGGGATCTAAAAGGAAGCTGAGAAGTAATGGAGAATATGGTGCCCTGGGAGCCAAGTGACATCATTTTTAAGAAGGCTGCGACAGCCACCCTGTCAGTGATTGCTGAGCGATAAAGTAGGATGAAAGCTGAGAATTGCCCACTGGATTTTGCAACATGGTGATCACTGATGACCATAGTAAGAACATTTTTGGTGGAATGATAGGAACCAGAGCCTGATCAGAGTGGGCTCAAGAGATAACGACAGGTTGCAGAAGTGGAGAGAGAGTCTACCTGACTTGCCCAAGGGCTTGCCTTTGTAGGGAGCAGAGCAGTTGGGCAGTGGGGAGAAGATACTGTAATGTGCTCATATTCATAGGGAGAGCCAGAGGAGAGCAGACACTGATGCTGCAGGACAGAGAGGCCAGTGTGGTCACAGTGTCCGTCTGCAGGAGGAGAGGGAAAGGCTGAGCATGCACCTCACATACAGGGAAGTTCCCAGCGTGGGTGGTAGGAAAAGTTTATTTAGTGGTTCCTTCTATTTTCTCTGTCAGTGCAAAGCATGATCATCTACTGCAAGTGGAGGGATGAGTGTTGGCTATTTAAGAAGAAAGGGGTGGGGGATGGTAGACAGACCGGAGCAAAATGGAGGCTGAAATCCCACTAAGCCATGTGTCCCTGGCTATGCTCAGGAGCACTAGTGAAGCAGGGCACTTGAATTTACCAGGGCGATTTTGCCAGATGAGTTAGATAAAGTGAGAGTGAGGCATGTGTACGGAAGGGGTGAGGTGGTGGTCTGGCCCAGGCAGTGCAGTGAAGCTGTCTGATGTGGAAAGTAACTCCAGTCAGAGCCTGGTTGAAGTGGAGAGGGTACCCAAAGTGTTGGAGAGAAGGAACTACAGGTTGGAAAGGGGGAATCCCCAAGTGTTCATGCATCAGGAATTTACCCAGACAGAAGCAGTGTTGGGGGGAGGTGGAATAATCCAGATGCTAAAATTAATGACGAGGGTGGGAAGGGCCTGGAAAGCAGAAGAACTTTGCAATAAGATGAGGATAAAGGGATTATTTGAGGGCCAGTTGTATTCAGTGTACTCTAAGTAGGATTATATTTTTCAACCTGAAGATAATCATTTGTGGTGTGATTATGAACATTTTTCTCCAAGGCTCATGGAATTTTACATGAAGTCTTAGAAGATTTTGTAGACTTCCAGTTACATGCTTAGTACAGAGCACTCCTATGAAACCCAGAGCAAACTTATAGGAGCCTGACACCTAAGCCACTCTTGGATGTATTTGATGACACCTTCAGGGTGGGCAAGAGTCCCTGGAAAGTCTTTGTGAGGGATGTGGGTCTGGACTCAGGGGAGGAGTACATGGGAATATTTTCAGAGTGCCAAACATGAGCAAAGGTGGCTGCCACCTGGACTGTGCATGCAGAAATGGTCAACTTGCTTGAGGTGCTCAAGTAGGCCACAAGGAAATTGGCACAGTGGGGCCTGATATTTTTGAGAGATTCTTAGAGGTGACTGTGGTGCCCTGGTGCCACTCTTCTGATAGGCATATAATTGGACAGGGTGTTACCTTTCTGAAGTCACAGGGCTGCTCAGAACTGAGGAAATGACATCAGAGCCAGTGTTACCTGAGCTGCACTGTGCTGCCTCCCAGGAAAAGTCACCACAGTGCTCAACTTCATTTGCATAACTCATTTCATCATTCACTTTGACCATAGGTTTTTCTTCACCTTGTTAGATTGTCATACATTTTTGGTTTTTTTGAGACAGGGTCTCAGTTTGTTGCCCTCGGTAGAGTGCATGACATCACAGCTCACAGCAACCTCCAATTCTTGGGCTCAAGTGATTCTTTTGCCTCAGCCTCCCAAGTAGCTGGGATTACAGGCACTTGCCACAGTGCCCAGCTATTTTTAGAAACAGGATCTCGCTCTGGCTCAGGCTGGTCTTGAAACCATGAGCTCAGGCAATCTATCTGCCTCGGCCTCCCAGAGTGCTAGGATTACAGGCATGAGCCACCACACCTGGCCTATTGTCATAACATTTTAAAATACTTGTTTGTTTTGTTACAGTTAGGAAAGAAAGTGGACATTCAGGGCCACAACATCATGGCAATCCTTTGAGATCCCCATTCTCCATGGTGTGAAGTATTTTTGCCAGCCCATATTAGAGTTCTTTCCTGTGGATCCAGAGGTGATCTCCTAAATCAGTGGTTCTCAATCTTTCTAATGCCGCAACGCTTTAATATAGTTCCTCATGTTGTGGTGACCTCCGACCATAAAATTATTTTTGTTTTTACTTCATAACTGTAATTTTGCTACTGTTATGAATTGTAATGTAAATATCTGATATTAGGCAACTCGAGCCCCAAAGGTGTCACGACCCACAGGTTGAGAAATGCTGTCCTAAATAGATCACCAATATCAGTCAGTCAAGTTGAGGCTCAAATCCTGTTTCACAGTAACCAAAGTGACAGAAACATAATACATGAATCAGAGAGCTGATTAGTTTATGGTGAAAAGTAAAACTGCCAGGAGGTAGGAATTGAAAAGTCAAAAGAGCCAGGCAGGTTGCCATCAGCAAGGTGCTCAGTGAGAACAAACAAAATGGTGTGGAGGATCTCAGCAGCCCCTCTCTCTGCTTCTCAGCACCATCAGGGAGCTTGAAGCCAGAGCCTAGAGAGGTCTTGAGATCTAGACAGACACATAGGGACTCCTGGGATCCTGTCCTTTGAGACTACAGGCCATGCCACCCTGTCCCACAGTGCCAGGAGGGTGCCCTGCTGCCTATGGCTGACTGTTCTCCTCTCCCCAGTTGGTCTTCCTAGGAAGGCAAGTTGGAGAGCCTTGAGGTTGGAGGGGCTAGGCTGCTGAAGTAGCCTTCCCTTTAATGGGACTGTCATAGTATCTTTCTTGGGAAACTAAACATCATCATTAATGTTCTCCCAGCCCCTCCTACTACACCAATGACCACTGACATTTACTGAGCACTTATTTTATGCTTGGCTCCAGGCTAAGTGCTCTGCATGGACTAAGTCACCAAATGCTCCCAGTGACATTGGGGAGTAAATCTTGCCAGTAGGCCCATTTTATAGATGAGGAAATGGACACTGGGAGGGTTTTGGTGACTTACTCAGGCTCATGCAGCTAATGCATGATGGAGTCACAGCTCAACCCCAGGCTGAATTGTGAAACAATGTGATCATCCTGCCAGCTAGTTTTTGTGGGATTTGAGTTTGGGTTTTACTTCTGGGTTTTGCCATTTTTTTATTGACTGTTTTGACATCCAGGATGTGACACAGGCTTGTGGCGCCTGCCTGTCCACCTTGCTCGGGTGCCCCATTCCTGCCCCAGCTGTCCCTGTCACTTTGCTCGGTGCATTCACCTGTAGCTGCCTTCTCTTCCAGTGTGGGATATGCAGTAAGCCCATGGGCGAGCTCCTGGATCAGATCTTCGTTCACCGTGACACCATCCACTGTGGACAGTGCTATGAGAAACTCTTCTAGGTGAGTGCTGGAACCACAAGGGATAAGCAGCCAAAAGACTTGTTAGGGGAAAGAAATGTGCCCTACTCTTTCCCTAAGTCTTAATCTGGACACTGTGCTCTCTCTCAGCCTTTATGTTCAGAGGGACTCAAGTCATTGTGCCCTAGGATACTGGGAGATCTTAGGTGACATGGGCAAAGTCCCTGTATGGGGACACTTCCAAGTTGTACCTTCTATCACCACCTCAGCTGAGCCCTCTAGCCACCCTGGGATGCCAGCTGGGCCTCTGTTGTTAGCCCCATTTTCAATACGGAAATATAGACTCAGAAAGGGAAGGGGCCTGGGGAAACCTACTTGGTTTGTAGTAGAATTGAGACTTCTCACCCTAGGCCTTCAGATCCCCGCCCAGGGCTCTCCGCTGCAATCCCTTGGACCCACCTCCACCACTGCTTGCATAGCTTTAGATCAGGACTCAATGGCCAAGCTGTGCCACATGGTCAGCACTGCCTGAGGGCTTGCTGTGTGCTGACAGCCAGTGGAATTGGCCTCTGCATCTGAGCACAGAGCTCGATACATCCCTGGAAGGCAATCAGGACAACTAGCATCCAGGCTCCCAATAGCTACGTGCTGGTCACCTTCTCTCCAGAAGACACATTCAGCTGAACTGTGACTCCTGAATGCTGGAGCAATCACATACCCTGAGGGGCTGTGACTGATTTTTGGATTGGTTACATATTTCCAGTCTCATGGTTGCTTCTGTTTTCTTTTAGCTCCCCTCAGTCTGGTCAGAAGCTGATGCCTCCCAGCTAAGTTTGGCTGTCTCCAGTTGCCCCAAGATGCTGGCTCCTCTGCCCTCACCACCTCCCTCCCTATTTGATTTCTTCATGCGTTTGCCCTTCTCATGTTGAACTTGCTTACATCTGATATCATATCTTCATGATGCTATGATAATTACTGGTGGGTTTAGCTTCTTATCACTTAGAAAGCACTTAACATCCATGATCTCAGTTCCAGCTCAGTCAAAGAGGATTGAAGAATTCCATCTTGACTTCCCCCAAACAGATTGACTTTCTGTTGAGTTTAGGCGGGCAGAAGTGTGAGATTCAGTATATCCTGACTCTCTTGAGGCTTCTGAAGGGCTAAGTAGAAGATTATTGACGATCCCTGGTGGGTAAATTGAAGGCATTGAGTGTTGGGAATATTAGCTTGCCTAGTTGCCATATATGGTTTTTAATTTCTATAAACTTTTTAAAGTAGTTAGTTGCTTTTGATTGAGTTACATAGCAATTTTAATTCCTTCCTCTCACCCACCTTTCACTATATTTGAGTTTTTCCCTGCAGGTGTGTGGGCATGTATTGGAAGGTTTATACAATTAGGTTTAAATTCAATAGGATGTGATTTTAGGAGGCTTCTAACCAAAGGGATATATGTGTTGGAATTTTTATAACTGATTCATATTTTTGTCCTCAATTCCCTGAGCTTTATACAGAAATCCTCTCTAGTGGGTTGTAGGGTGATTTGATCCCAGCAGGATTAAGAAGGGAGAAAAGCAGCTAACACTTCTTGAGGTCTTACTACATATCAGGTACTATCACAAAGTGATGGCATTAATTCCCTAAATTCTTCTGTGAAGAGGGTATTCTTGTTTCCATTTTACAGATGAGAGCATTGAGGCTTGAGAGAGGTGGTCATTACACTGTGTAGAACACTGTGCATAACCACTGCTGTCTCTCCAGGAGCAGTGACCAGAGTAGCAAAGCATTGACTTACCACTCAGTACATACTTCCTACCAGGTAATGCCACTTACCTAGGTCCTTCAGAGGCATAGTGTCACCAAGGGGAAGATAGGAGGGTGTGAAATCGTGCCCCCTACCCCTGGCATCATGGATGCTTGGATTTCCCCATCCCCTATGAAGTTCTGCAAAGGCCAAACCCACCCTTTTCTCCCCTCCCCTTATTGTGAGAGTACTTCTGGACTGAGATGCTGTCAGCTGGGAGCAGAATTGACTCACATGTCTTCCCAAAGAGGGGTTTGTCAATTCAGGGAAGTTCCTGAGGGCTAACTGGTCTGAGCACAGAGTTTCCAAGTGACCTATTTTCCAGTATAGACTCTGTCTCAAACTACTGGCAGCTACTGGGGCCTCATATACTTGGAACAAGGAAACCTATTGGCTGACTGGGTAGATGCAGGCTAGCCCATGCTGCTAACCAACACTCTGTTCACATTCAGTTGTACTCTGCCACCTGTGGCCCAGCATCACTTTGTAAGCTTCTTGAGAGAAAGAACAACCTCAGAGTATTTCTGACACACAATGAAGGGCTCTTCCCTTGATTTAATTATAAAATGTCTCACCATCTTTCTCCAGTTTCTGAACTCTGTTCACAGTGGCTTGTGGACTTGTTTTTCCTGCCAAATGATCTGAGTGGAAAATTCCATTTGTTTGCATAGCTGCGTGTTATATTTACGCTGCAGGGGAAATGTACAATATGCCATGAACACACACTAAATATGAGCTGGCCGTCCTCACATCTAGCCCCCAGCGTGGGACTTGGCACACAGTAGGCACTAGCACATAGGAGCTGAATCAATGAGTGAAAGAGAAAGAAAAGACCCTCCTTTGGTGAGAGACACCATCCTTGCATCTCAGTGCAAGTCTACCTGATGGGATGCCACATGAAGAGGTCTGAGGTGGGCTGGCTGCCCCTCCTTCATGGTATCTTCTACTTTTAAAGGTATTTTCAAACCAACATGCCAGAAAGCTAGCAATGATCAGTAATTGCTTTTGATGCAAAACAGCCTCTTTCATGTCTAAAAAGGCGCAGAACCTGCAATCTTATGGAAGAACAATGGTTGTATTACATTTTCGTTTCTTTTTAATTTCTTAGTATTTCTATTCATACTTGCTTAATCCACATTCATGTACGCAATTATAATAAATGTTAAGATACTACGTGGATCCGTGTTAAGGTTTCCTTTTGTAACTGTATGACCTGGTGTATTCTGCTGTGTGATTTCTTTTATCCTGTTGTCTGAAGCTGTTCTCTCTACAAAAGCGAGTAAGTACTCAATAGCAAAATCCACAAACTACATATGCACAGGAATTATGAAATTATAGACTTATCAAATCGTAATGAGGAATGTTTTGTTTTGAGTTCATCCTCCCTGCCCTTATCATTGCAGGTGCACAGCCACCTTCTCTTTATAACACTTGCAGTGAGCAGTAGCTTGGTCCCTTATGTGTGTGCTGTCTAGGGACAGCCCCAATTTCAGAAGATGCATTCTTCAGTTGAGTTAAAATCTGTTTCCCTTTGTCACCCACTGGTGGTCTTTAATACGTCTGCTACATGCCAGACCCTAAAATATATGAAGATACTTCTCAGATTCTCTCTGTCAACTCTTGTCCCATTTAAACAGTGCCACTCCCTTCAGTTCTTCCTTGACAGTAATTCAGAATATACATTTCTCAAAGGTGACCCCAGCCCACTGCTGCCAATGTGTGCCAATAGGCAAGATTGTTTCATCTTGCTCTTTAAGGTGTCAGTGCCCAGGTTGTCCAAATTCTGTTGGATCATCATCGTGCCTATCAAGTGAGCCATGATTGCAAGTTCTATATCATCTGGAAATGCAATCTACATGCTATCTAAGTCTAGATCCAATCCAGAAACAGGAATAAGTGACCAACAAGTCTGAAGATGGAAGATATGACACTCAGAGAACTCCTTCCATCACTGAGCAGGGACCTGGGACCATTGAACTCTCCTTACCTCAACCTTGGCCACCATCTTAGTACAAAGGGAAAGCAGGAAGAGCTTTTCCTAAATCAAGAGACAAGGACTACAACACGAGCTCATAACTAGGTATTTCTAGGACTCAGTGGTAGTGTATGATGCAAAGACCTAAAAGAACAATAGGACACTGGTATTTTGAAATAGCACTTACAGGGCTAGGTTCCATCCAGTGAGTTGATTCTTGTGTTGGGCCTCATTACCACTCCTCTGAGGTCCTACCCATGCATGCCTGTGTGCTGTCCTCTGGAGGCTTCTCTTCGCTTATGAATGTCTTTGGCCAGTGAATTTCCTCTACAGAACACATTCCTCTTGTGAAGCTTCTCTACCCAGTATCCTCTGCCGGGAAGGTCTCAAATCTGCCTCTTGAGTGCGTTCTGCTCAAGGCCTCATGCACACTGCCTCTACTTGCAAATGCCCTCTGCTCTCTGAACTCTGCTGGTTGAGTTCTGTCCTCACCTGGGGCTCTGCCAGTGAGGCTGTGTGCACACAACCTTCTTCCTGTGAGTGCCCTTGCCATTGTGTGCTTTGCTTAGTCTTGCTAATTGTTGATTTCGTTCTTTTCAAAATAACATTGATTTTAATTGTTTCAATGATTTTTTCAATTATTTTTTTACTCTTTAATATCCCCTCTAATCTTCATTATTTCCTCCTTTCTACTTGCTTTGGATGTAGTTTGCTCTTTTTCTTTTGTTCCTTAAGGGGTTAAGTTACCTTATTGGTCTGAGATCTTTCCTTTTTAATATCTATGTTTACAGCTAGAAAATTTTCTCTGAACACTGCTTTAACTGCAGGTTATATTTTCCTTTTCATTCTTCTCAAAGATTTTCTGATTTCCCTGAGACTTGTTGTTTAGTGTGGCCTTTCCAAACTTCTTTCTGTTAATGATTTCTCATTTCATTCCACTGTACTGGAGTGCATACTTTGCATCATTTCAAACTGTTTCAATTTATGGAGGCTTGTTTAATGGCTTTGTGCTTCGCTTTAAATGTGTTTTCCGTGGGGTTTCTCCCCCAACAGCTGCCTTTGTGGGTCACTGCCTATGATACCTTTCCGCCCTGCCCCTGCCCTCGCAGCCTGCCTGAGAATTGCCCCTTTCCCTGAAGGCCTGCCTCACGTTACAGTTTTCCTCTGAAGCCCACTGGTCACTGTGCTCTTTCAGTGAATCTTCTCAGAACAGCTTCTATGTAAGCCATCCAATAGTGGGTTTAGTTCGATGTGGCCAGATCACTTCCTTATCGTGTGCTGTGCCTATGAGCCCCCTCTGTCACTGTCTTCTGCCTACACTGCTCTTTGCAGATTCCCTTGCTTCAATTTCTTCTCCTATGAATGTCTTCTGCCCTTTGATGCCTTCTTTTGGTCAACACCTTAACCTGCCATTGGTTGCTCAGTTGCTCAGCAAGCCCTTATTGACTGGGTGTCTCCTACCAGTGTGCTGGATGTGGGGATCCCCTCCCAGGATACCAGACACAGTTCGGATCCACATGAAGCTTACCGTGTCACATCCAAATGCCACTATGATTGTGCCCTGAAGATCACATACAAGGTGGGCTAATGCTACAGCTCAGTAACCTGCACGCGGCTGGCTGGTCAGGGAGGCTTTAGTATGAGCCTGCTAAGCAAAAGACTGCTTTGTTCCAGCCCATCTTTTTTAACAGGCAGCTGTGCTTAGTTCCCTTTTCCCCTCCCCAAAGCCCCACTGATTTTTCTGCAGTGTTCCAGGCCTTCTATGGGACCTGGGATACATTAGTGAGCAAGAGAGACACAACCTGTGAAATCACAGAGTGACCATCCCCTGTGGAGAAAGACAAGGCAACAAGCCTATTTCAGTAGGGGCTATTAAAGGAGCACAGAGAAAAGTTTCGTAATGTGGATTTGTAGGGTTAAGGATGGCATCCTGGGCGGCCATGACTGCTGAGCTGAAACCTAAAGGATGAGGAAGGGTTGTTCATTCACTTAATAATTTCAACATTTTCTGAGTACCCATTGTGGACCACATACTGCACAAGGCACTGG